ATTCTGTTCTCCAGAGAATCCTTAGGCACAGAGAGGGGAGGCAGCATGCCAAAGGTCACAGCTAGACACGGCAGACCTGGGACGGGGCCCGTCCTGCAGAGTTAGTGACTGCACTCACTGCTGTCAACTCCCCGACACGTCTGATGACCACATGACACAGGGGCCTCTGTGTGTGGACAGTCTTGCCTCGAGGTCAGCCTGGCAAACACTGGGTTCCAGGGCATCAACAGGGGCATGGGGCACTTGAAAGAAATGGGCAGAGGGGAGGAGAAGCCAGAGGCAGTTGGTGACCAAGGCCAGCCCTGCCCTAGGCAAGTCTGAGGTGGGAGGCAGAGGAGGGGGCAAGGCGGGAACCAGTGCTCTGTCCGCACCCGGTGCCCCTGGAGGGAGCAGCTGTTAGGGAGTCCAGCCCAATGGACTGAGACCCTGCCATTTTCCAAGGTCAGAAACTGGGCTGCCCGGTGCCTGCCTTGCAACTGCAAGGTCCCAAGTTCGATCCCCGGTACCAAAAAAAAAGAAACTGGGCTGAACTGGGCCCACTGGGACCTTCCGGTAAGCCTAGCTGAGAAGCTGAAGCAGGAGGATGCCCTGCCTTGGCAACTTAACGAGACCCCTCCAGTAATAACAAATGAAAGGGGTGAGGTGTGGCTGGGTAGTGCGGAACGTGCCTGGCACACATGAGGCCCTAGGCTCCATCCCTAGTACCTAAAAGAAAAAGCTAACAACTAAAAGGAACACAGGGCTGTATGCAGACCCCATGTTTGGCACACGGCGGGGGGGCACAATTCACCCACCCCAGCCCCGATACCGGGTGGGTCAGGTAACCACACCCAGGGGCTGCAGGGCTGCGAACTGGCCACGCGGGTGCAAGGTCATGCGGGACTGGGCACCGGGGTGGAAGGGAGGGGAGCGCCTGTGGGATGTGGCCCCTCCTCAGTGGGGTGGCCTTGCACACCCTGAGAGCCCTCTACAAGGAGGGCACCGCAAGGAAACCACTGTATGAAGGGAAACTGAGGCTGCAGACTCACTGTGGGCCTCAGGCAGTCACAGAAAGGCCAGGTCCCAGGGCTGGGCTCTGCTTCTGCAGTAATCAGCGGGTAACCAGGGACCCAGGGACGGCCCGGTAACTGGGCTCAGGCTCTCCACAGACTCTGGGCTTTGTAAGACTGGAAACCCACTCGTGACACACGCTGCCCTGGTGACAGCCCCATGCACAATTCCTTCTTGGAGACACTCGAGGAGGAGCCAACCACCAAGACCAACCAAGGCCGCTGGCCACTCGGGTCCACTGTGGCCCTAACCCAGCGCCCAGGGAGACCAAGCCACTGATGGCAAAAGGGAGAGAGGACAGATCGGGCTTGGGGAGCTCAGCTTTTCAAGCCATAGAGGAGACAATGCCAGTCTGTCCCCGGCAGTCTGTCCACCCGTCCTGAGGCCAAGCCTTCCGCTGCCTATCCCCGGGTGTGGGAACCGAGGCTGGCAGACTGCCGAGCTGCACTCTGGCCCGAAGGCGCTGATCCTTCCTGTTAGTCTGCAGGCCGGGCTATGGCAACTGAAAACCAGAGGGCTCAGGTCCAACATGGAAGAATTTCAAGATGGTGATGGCAGAACACTGAACCGAGTGTGAAATCCTGTGCGACCATGCAGGCCCCGGATCTGCAGAAGGAGACTCTGCCCTCCAGAAACCGGGGGGCTCAGGGTGAGGTCGCCCACTGTAGAGGACACGGAGCGAGCCCAGGTACTTCCAGGAACGGTTCTTTGCCTCTGTCTCCAGCATCCTCATCCGGAACCCGGCTTTGTCGGCTGCCCGGGGACACTGGCTGCTCAGCTGAGGGAGCCTGGAGGCCATCTCTGCTGTCACATGGCTCTCTAAGAAGGGTTGCCGCATGCAGTGTGGGTGGAATGAGCCCCGTCCCACCAGTGCTTCAGCTCCGCCTAGGACAGAGGCCCTGCCACTTCTTTCCTGTGCGCACCTGGCTCCACTCTGGCATCCCTCGGCCAGGATCAGGAGGAATAAAACGAGCATGGCAGCAAACACACGCACACTCGCAGTCTGGGGCACCTCGAATGTCTCCCCCACTGCCTTCTACATGGTAGAGAAATAGGCTGGGCTGGACCGTCACGGTCCTTGCTGACCATGTCCTAGACCGGCGATGGCGAGCCTTTCAGAGATGAGCGCCCAACCTGCAACCCCAAATCCACTCATTTATCATAAAGTGCCAGCGCTGCAATTATACCTACGTACTGAGGTTTCAGTTCAGGAAAGACGAGTATTATTGGCTGCTCGGCTGCTGGGGTAGCCTGGCTCCTAGAACCTTCCTAGAAAGCGGCAGCTTGGGAGGCCAGGATATGGCCAGGGATGAGGAAAACCATGGAAGTGCTGTGGAGAGGCTCAGGGACTCCCCTGCTGCTGAAGATGCGGTTCTGCCTGGGGTCAGAGTCCGGTGTGGGTTTGGGCCCCGGCTCCCCGGTTTGGCGCTGTGTGACTCCAGTTACTACCTGTTAACCAGCTGTCTCTTGGCTGTGAATGGGAGGCAGCGGTAACCACTCTGCACTGAGACACCTCACAGGGCCCGGTGTATAACAGCACTGATAACTAATGTTCACAGTCGTGCCACCATCAACAATCACAGAGCAGGCTGGCGTTAGCATCAGCACAACTGTTTTATGCAAGGGGAAACTGAGGCCCAGAGAACAAAAGAATCCCTGTCCTGAGTTCCCACAGGGTGACTGACCCTTGACCTTCCCGGACCCACCCCGGGCCTGCAACCACAGTGCTTCCAGCACCTGCCCATCACTGGGGTCTGGTGGGAGGCTGGAGCCTCAGGGAAGTGCCCGGAAATGCTGACCAGGGCTAGGAGAGACTCCTCGCACCCCCAGCCAAGGTCCCTCCAGGAAATGCCCTTTGCCTGTTCCCCAGCATCCCGGCAGGACCTTGCCCTGGCTGCTCCAGTCCCCTCCCTGGTCCTCTGGGCAGTGGAGAGGGGCCTGGGTCTCTCCTGACACAGTGGCGTGCCCAGTGCCGAGCACAGGGCCTGGCACAAAGGACCACGATGGAACCTTCCTGATCTGGGTGGCAGAGAGGATGCGTCCAGGCCCCAGACTCAGTCAGACTGAAATCCACACCCTGGCTCAGCTGTGTGGCCCCAGGCCGGGTGCTCACCCCCTGAGGCTCCAGTTTCCCTTGGGGCAAAAGGGACAGCACTGTCCCTCCTACACAAGGCCACGTGAATGGTGCACACTCACACAGAGCCTAGCACACCTGAGAGCTGTCAGGGGGCTAATTTACTACACAGGGTGGCACAGATCCACAAAACCTGCCTGACACAATGCAGCAGACCAGGTACCCCAAACCCTGAGCTCACCCCTGCAGGTGACCTTTGCTGGCCAGTGGCTTTGTCTGAATTTGTCTGGAGCATCCCTGGACCAGCTTTGGTCCCTGAGCAGGCTCATGGCGACCCCTGCTGCCCGCCACGCAAAACTGCCCCACACTGCCAGCAGGAGCCAACAACAAAAGCAAGGTAGAGCCCCCCCCAGGAAGGGCTCGTCTTTGCAGGGTCTAGGAGGACACTTGTCAGAGCAACGGCGGGGAGAAGCGACGCTGCGTGTAATTATGCTCGGTGGATACTAATTCCCTGTCTCCTAAAGATAAATATAATACTCAGATCAAACAAAGCGCCTTCCCTTCCCCTGTGCTCTTTTGTTTCCCAGGATAAGTGTCATCCTAAATAGACTGCGGAACTGAGAGAAACTGTCATTTCCGAGGGATATTATTTCCTGATCAACATGCGCTGTTCTTAGCAAGCTTGTTCTGATCTGGCAGTTCTTAAATTGGACTCTTTTTAAAAAGCAGAGGCAGGTTAAAACGTGCAGGCGCACCCCACATGCGCCTCACTGTGGTGAGGCTTCAGGACCCCTCTGCCTGATCTACCCAGGTGCAGGGCGATGGGCCACCGGTGTCCCCCAGGCCATGCCCTGTCTCTGCAGGCTGGTCCTGCTGGGTGGGACACCCAGGATCCTCGCTGAGACCCGCTTCTCAGGCACAGGCAGGGACGATGCCTCTGCGTCAGCTCTCACTGACGTCTGTGGGCAACTGCCACTGACTCGTGATCTGCAGCATCCAGGAGGAGGAGGAGGAGGAGCAGGAGGAGGAAGAGGAGGAGGAGAAGCAGGAGCAGGAGGAGGAGGAGGAGGAGGAGGA